GCGGGAGGTGGGAGTGGGAGGCACTGTTCTGCAGTGGTTCTCCTCCTACCTCTCGGACAGGTCGCAGTCGGTGTTGGTCGGGGGGCAGAGATCGTCCCTGAGGCCCCTAACATGTGGGGTGCCCCAGGGTTCGGTCTTATCCCCCCTACTATTTAACATATACATGAAACCGCTGGGCGAGATCATTCGGAGGCACGGGATAAAATACCACCAATATGCGGACGATACGCAACTGTATCTGTCCGCCCCGTGCCAACTCAATGAAGCGGTGGACGTGATGAACCAGGGTCTTGAGGCCGTTAAGAACTGGATGAGCGCTAACAAACTGGTACTCAACCCGGACAAGACCGAATGGCTGTTGTGCTTCCCTCCCAATAATTTGGCTAATGTACCAACGCTTAGGCTGGGGGGTCAAATTTTATACCCCTCAGATAGGGTCCGCAACTTAGGAGTCCTCCTGGACCCACAGCTGACTTTTGACCACCAGCTGTCAGCTGTGACCAGGGGGGCATTTGCCCAGGTTCGCCTGGTCCGCCAGTTGCGGCCCTACCTAGATCGGGAGGCTCTCACAACAGTCACTCGAGCCCTTGTGATCTCTAGGCTGGAATACTGCAATGGGCTCTACATGGGGTTGCCCTTGAAGTGCATCCGGCGACTACAGCTAGTCCAGAATGCAGCCGCGCGAGTGATAGTGGGCGCACCGCGGTTCGCCCACGTTACACCCGTCCTCCGCGAGCTGCACTGGCTACCTGTTGGTCTCCGGGTGCACTTCAGGGTACTGATGACCACCTTTAAAGCACTCCATGGTAGTGGATCTGGGTACTTGAGAGACCGCCTTCTGCCGATTACCTCCCTACGACCAATTAGATCGCACAGACTGGGCCTCCTCCGAATCCCATCTGCCAGTCAATGCCGACTGGCGACCACACGGAGGAGAGCCTTTTCTGTTGCAGCTCCGACCCTGTGGAACGATCTCCCCGTTGAGATCCGTACCCTCACCACCATCCAGACCTTCCGCGCAGCCCTCAAGATCTGGCTCTCCCAGCAGGCCTGGGGATAGGTTCCCAATTCACCCGCCCGAGTGTTTGATTGCTGAACGAAAGTTGTGTTTTTACTATTTTTCTTTGTTCACATTTTGGTTTTTTTTGACACTGCACCCCCCTCCCTTGTGGTTGTAAGCCGCCCTGAGTCCCCTCAGGGAAAAGGGCGGCCTATAAATCCCAATAAACTCTAAACTCTAAACTCTTTGGAGCTAGCCAAAAATGCAAGCATAAGAAACTTTTTCCTTTTTTCTCAATTCCAGTGTTCTTAACCACCGCTCCAAACTCATATGTTATAATTTAACTTTTTTGGGGGTAATTTTAATTTCTTCCTATATTTATAATTGCTTGGATATTTGGGTATTTTATCTCTCAGTAAGTCGCTGAGATTCATCTCGAATCATGAGATGGGCAGCAAATGAATTTAATAAGAAGAATAATTTAACAACGCCATATCCAGTCTGAATATTTGGCTGATGGTGTGATGTAATGGGAGAATATTAGGTAGTACCTAATATTGTCTTGGGTGCAATCCAAAAAACATCTGGCGCACCACTCGAACCCCACTTGCATTGATAAAACCACCATCGATCAATAGCAAAAGGCAGCTGGCATCCTGTGAGGATACCTTTAACATCATCAAACAACAACATCTGCCTATCCCAGGTCATTGGGAAGGATGAAGATGGATAAAAATGGCATATCCAGTCTGAACATCTGGCTGACTATGAACCATAATAATAATAATAATACTCAATGAACCACCTTTAATAGTTCAAGTTCACATATTTATTTTATTTGCATCCTGAAAACTGTTTGGAAGTTTAGGTAATATTGTCCCTCTGGGTATCTAGAAGGCTGACAGCACAGTGGTTAGAAGGCAAGCAAATTCTGCCCGCAGTCTGAAGTTCAATCCTGATGGGGCTGAAGGTTGACTCAGCCTTCCATCCTTCTGAGGTCAGTAAAATGAGGACCCAGATGGTTGGGGGCAATGCGCTGACATTGTAAACAGCCCAGAAAGTGCTATAAAGCACAATGGGACAGCTTATAATTAATTGCTCTATTTTAGTGCACCACTCCCTTAAATTAGCTTCATAGAGCTAGCCTACAGTTTAAGGGATTTAGAAGATGTACATCTGGAAGGTTATTGATGAAATCTTGCTGTGACCTTGGTCTTAAACTGGGCAGAGAGGGGGAAAAAAGAAAGTTTCCAATTTGCCGTTCTTTTGTTTTTGTTGATGTTGTAGGATTATCTCTGGAATGTGAAGAATGCTTTGGACTAGGAGGTTGTTTTGGGAATATGGTGGCATGTGATTTTGGGAAAGACACATGCAGTGTTACCAGTTTGGTCCTCCCAACGGGTAAGTTTAAGAAGATGTGTCTCCTACAGGCCCCAAGGAGGTTGCTTTTATTTCATCATTATTCTGCCTTTATTATTTTATAAATAACTTGGGGCAGCGAAAATACCCAATACTCCTTCTGACTAACTCGTATTTCCTCACACTGTGGCCTGGGAGGGAATGATTGGCTTTCATGACTAAAGTGGGATTAGAACTCACCATCTCCTGGTGATTGGCCTGAAGATGCCTAGCTGGCTTTCATGGCTAAAGCAGGACTAGGACCAGGGGTAGGTTCCTACCGGTTTGGACCGGTTCAGCCGAGTAGATAGTAACTCAGCCGGCCACACCCCCAAACCGGTTCTATCAGCAGCGCCACAGGGGGTGTCATCTTGTTTTTGCGCAGAAGCAATTTTTTTACTACTGTGCATGTGCATGTAGCACGCATCAAGCGCCGATGTGGGCAAAGCATGTCCTTGAGCAAACTGGCAGTAACAGAAGCCAGAACCCACCCCTGACTAGAACTCACCTTCTCCTGGTGATTGGCCCAAAGTCACCCAGCCATCTTTCATGGCTAAAGTGGGACTAGAACTCCCGGTCTCCCAGTTTTTGGCATGGTGCCTTAATCCCTAGACTATCTGTAGTATACGTGAAGAATGAGACTGCCAAAAAGTAGGCACACATTACCTCAATTAAAAAATACTTTAAGATTTGGGTTTTTTTATGGCTAAGGTCCCAAGTGTTCCTCAACCTACTCACTCTGGATTGAGTTCTGAAGGGAGAAATCTTTGGTGGAAGGACTAAGTACTCCTCACTGGGAGAAACCCAGCTGGAGCCATGCAACAAAGGGGTGTCAAACACGATTTTATTGAGGGCCGCATCAGGGTTATTTTTGACCTTGGTGGGGGGGATGAGGGATGTGTGACAAGGGTGAGCATGGCCAGTTCGACGTCACTCATGTCAAGGGTGCCTGTGGTGACCTGAGTTCTGTGCCAGTGAAAATGGACTCCCGAACTCCGTTTTCAGCTACGACGGCCTCCTGCAAACCTCTGTCAGTGAAAACAGAGCTTGGGAGGGAGCTCCATTTTCGCTGGCAGAGGCACCATAGGCCGGTCATTTGTTGCTTTCTGGGCAACCTGCGGGCCAGATCTAAGCAGCCTGCAGGCCGGATCTGGCCCCCAGGCCTTGAGTTTGACACCCCTGATCCAACAACTTGCTTGGCTTTTGAAAGTGAATACCTTCTGTTCTCAAACATGCTTCCTACTGACCCTGCAAACGACCATCATGGTTTCTTTGGGTGGTAAAGCTGTTTCCCCCTCTTCATTTCCCACAGGGCTATCCCTGACTATAAAAACCTGTGTCTCATCCGAGGTCTGTGACAAAGGCATTCAAGTCATTAACTTGGGCCAGCTAGGAAAAGCTGTTGGCCACTTAAGATGCTGCAAAGGAGATGACTGTGGAGTCACAGTCCGTCCAGGTAGGTCAGGCTGTGGTTCTTCTCACTCAGGTTTCCCTGTCTTGTTTTCTGCTTCAGGTGTTCTGGGAACTGCACTTCAAACAGTCACTAAGCGAAGTGCTGTTTGTCAAGGACTGCCAGTATCTTGTCATGAATATTCTTAATAAGTGTTACTATTATCTGTCTGTCTGTCTGTCTGTCTGTCTGTCTGTATCTATCTATCTATCTATCTATCTATCTATCTATCTATCTAT